TACATTTAAGGATAATAATTGCATAATTGAGAAAGATAACAAAAGGGTAACTGCAGCTTTAAATGGAACATTGTATGTATTACATGATAGTAAGAAAGGGGAGGCACAGACTGTATTTAACAATATAAAGCCTCATAATGAATGTATCCATTTATTGCATAGGCGTTTGGGGCATGTAAATTTTAAAATGCTAAAACGTACAGTAGAGTTATCTGATGGAATAAGGTTAAAACCTTGTGATAAATATTTGCGTTGTAATGTCTGCTGTGAAGATAAGAGTAAAATATTGCCTGCAAATAGGCTAAATGGTTTCAAAACTAAAGAACCTTTAGAAGTGGTATTTGCAGACATTATAGGTCCAAAGAAACCCAGTATGGGGGGTGCTCGATATATACTGAGCATTATGGACCATTACTCTAGATATGGGTTTTGCTACTTAATGAAAAGCAAAACTGAAACATATCAACATTTCTTCAACTGGTTAAAATTTGCAGAAAGAAAATCTAAACGGCAACTGATAACCCTGGTGACAGATAATGGTACGGAATTTGTTAACAGCAAATTCCAGAATAGATTAAAGGTAGCTGGAATAGAGCACAAGAAATCTGCACCATACAGACCTCAACACAACGCATTTATTGAGAGAAGAGGCCAAACACTACAGGCAATGGTTAGAACAATGTTAACTGATTCTGGATTACCTGATTCTTTGTGGGGGGAGGCTACAATGTGTGCTAATAACGTACTGAACAACGTTGTTAACACAACTACTGGTGAAATACCATTCACCATGTGGCATGGCAGGAAGCCTGATCTGAGTTACCTGCACACATTTGGTGCACCAGCATGGGTGCATATCCCCACACAACTCAGGCGTAAAGGGCAACACAGAGCTAAACAACTATTCTTCGTTGGTTACCAAGCTAACCATAGGGCATATAGATTTTGGGAGAAAGGCACATCTAAGGTGTTATGTAGTGCCAATGCCCAATTTCTAGAGCACGTAGGATGGGATAAGTTAGAACAGGATAACAATAAAGAAGTAATTATTGAATCCTATAGAAATCCCATTAACTATCCCTGTAACTTTAAAAATAAAGTAAAGAGAGAAGTACAGGAAGAGATAGAGCCCATAAAGGAAGAAATAGCTGAGCAAGCTGAGGAACATGAACAGGTAGTAACTCAAAAAAGTCCTCATACAAGCCCTGTAATTCCCAGAAGAACTACACGTATATCTAGACCGCCTGATAGATACCAGGCTAACACAGTGTGCCAGGTTAATAAAGTTCCATATACTGTGGATGAAATAAAAATGTATCCTTCTAAAGATAAGGAAAGTTGGTATGCAGCAATGAATAAGGAATTGAAATCCTTGAAGGATATGAAAGTTTATGAAAATGTGAGATTACCTGGTGATATAAAACCCATTGGCTGCAAATGGATTTTTAAGATAAAAACTGATAAGGATGGAAACATAATCCATAAGGCAAGATTAGTAGCCCAAGATTTTAGACAAAGTGCCAATGACTATGATGAGGTATTTGCACCTAGTCTTAAAGCAGCAACATTAAGGGCAGCATTAGTGTGGGCAGCAAGCAAGAAATATATAGTTAACCATCTAGATGTGGAAACTGCTTACTTGCACGCTCCACTAAAACATACTGTATATATGAAAAAGCCTATTGGACTTAAAGGTGAAAATAATAATGATTGTTGGTTGTTAAAGAAGAGCCTCTATGGTCTTAAACAATCAGGCTATGAATGGAACCAGTATATTGTAAAGGAACTAAACAATATAGGGTTTAAAGCTGGTTTAGCCGATCCATGTCTGTTTAAAAGGGAGACAAATGGGAAAATATCATTATTATTATTGTTCACTGATGATATTGCTTTGATTACTGAGACTAATGATGAAGCCAATAAAATAATAGCATCATTAGCTAAGAAAATAAAAATCAAGCAATTAGGGGAGATAAAGAAATATCTAGGTTTGAATATACTGAAAACACAGAAAGGTTTTAAGATATCTCAGGAGGATAAGATATCTAAATTGCTAATAGATTATAAGATGAAACTTTGTAAGACTGCAAAGACTCCAATGAGTCAGGATATTTGCAAAATGGATGCTCAAAGTCCCAAATTTGATAAGGTATTATATCAATCTTTGATTGGTAGCTTATCATACATTAGCAATTGGTCAAGGCCAGATATAGCTTATAGTATTAATCAACTGGCACGACATAATAATGATCCACTTCAATGTCATTGGATAGCATTAAAGAGGATTTTAAGATATCTTAAAGGAACATTACACCATGCACTGTATCTAGAACCAAAAAGTGATCTCATACTGAGTGCTTATGCAGATGCTAGTTTTGCATCAGAAAGAGACACAAGAAAGTCGACTTCAGGAACAGCCATAATGCTGGGTAAGACATTAATTGGTTGGAAGTCAATAAGACAACAGCATATAAGTTTGTCTACTATGGAGGCAGAATTCTCCTGTTTATCGCTATTATGTACTGAATTAATTATGTATAAACAAATGATGAATGATATGGGTATAACTGTAAATTATCCTATAATTGTACATGAAGATAATCAGGCAGCAATTCAAATGGCCACGAATATTGCAGTAAAAACTAGGAGCAAGCATACGGATTTAAGGTACCTAAACGTTAGACAATCTGTAAAGAGTAAAATGATACAGCTGGAGTACTGCATGTCGGAGGACAATATAGCTGATAATTTTACTAAAGCCCAAGGTGCCATTAAGCACCAAGAGAGTTGTGAAAAGTATGGGTTTAGATTGTAAGGGTATTATATATTTATATCACCCAAAAGGGGAGAATGTTGGGTATATCGATACACCAACTAGGTTTGGGTGAATAAATATATAAACCAAGGTTTAAGTGTTTGTAGCTTTAAGCACCAAACTGCAATGTAATTAGATAATTAAGGGTGCGGTTACAAGCGGCAATAAAAGGCAGTGAGAGAAACGTAACAGCCCTGCTCCCTGGTCTCTCTGCTCTCTGCCTGTCTGCTGCTTACTCCTGTTTGAGACATCTGCTTGTTACTGTTTGCTGGCTACTGTGCTGGATACCGTTTCTGCTGAACAAAAGGACTATTCCCTTGGTGAGCTGATATCCTGTGAATACTCAGCATTGTCTTCAAGAGAAAGGTATCGGAAGGAGAAGATTTACAAGCAGATAAGGACATAGTACTAACTAGTTAATGGACTAAGTTATTGGATGGATATATTTGTGAATGACATATGGACTGATTGACAATGCTTACACTCTGAATGGATTAAACAACTATTTAAAACTACAAACAGTTTTTGTCTCCAGTGTGTGTATACTCTTGGGCCCAGCCCCTCTCATTTGGCTGCCTGGCTTGACTGCTGCTGCACACTCTGCTTGGGGGTTTGTCCCCAATCACTAACAGTATGAAAGAGTGGATGCTGCTTTTGGAGTTAGAAGCACATAACATGAGATTTAGATGGCATGGATATTTGTGGTATGATAAAGTCAAGGTCAACATGGATATTAAAACTCATTATGTTTCATATTAAGAACATGGAATAGATACAAATCCAGGCTGTGCCCAAAAACACCTTTGTAGCTCTCAGTACAATAAGCATTTTGTAGCTTTTGTAGCCTAATAATAAGAAACATTATGTCAGATCCATGTATCTGCCATTCTTCAATTGGAGAAGAAGGGGGGAGGGAAGTTGGTAAAGAAATCCTTTTTGATGTAACCTGAATATATTAAATCTTATATTGAATTTGTATAACCTACACAATGATATACAACTGAAGGATTGGAGCCAAATGCCCCAGAAACCTGTCACCTCTGGAAGAGACAGCAAGGGGACAAGGGACCATAAAAATTCCAGCTCCGGAAGATACTTCCTGAGAACTCTTCAAAAGATCGTTCCCAGAGGAGGGGAGGGGGAATTAACATGTTGGTTCTTTGTTTGACAAAATACACATCAAGATAAGGGGAGGGGTCCTAACTTCCTTTAAGTATCACTGCATGCCTGGGAGCTGTTAGACTCTGCTTTGAAACCGTACTTGAATTGTCTTAGGATTCCTTAGGATTCCTTCTGAAACATCTAGTTCCCAGAAGTTCATTCTTTCGGTTGAATGGGAAAAGTTCAGTAGCTGACACATTAGGGGTGACATGATAGCAAATTTTATTGTTGCAAAATAACAAAAGCTGTTTTAAATAGCACGTTTCTTCATCAATTTTCAGTTTCTACAATGACTTGTATTTACTGATCTGAAAAAGATTCCTATGGACACTTCTGTCTTTTTTATATTTTTGTGGAAGATTTGAATACTAGAGAAGCTGCCCAACCTTAAAGAGACAGTTATACTAGGGAAAACCTGCATTATTCACCTTATACTAAAAGCTAGTGGAAGATCTCTGCATTCAGCAATGATAATTTCACCAAAATATCCTTTTGCAAAAATTAAAATTAAAATAATTTCATGTTCATCAGACTGAGGGTAAGAAGAACACAAAGAAAATTCTCATTCCAGATTGTTTGCAAATCTGTGAGTCTTTTCAGCCCTTCTCTCCATTTTTCTTAGTCCAGTTATGTTAACCAAAACAGATTCTCCCCACTTAACTTCAAACCTGACCTAGCAACCAAGACCTAGTTTGAATTTGCCCTTTGGGGTCACTTTCAAATGCCCACTTCCCTGTCGGACAATGGGCCTACTGTCATTTGTACACTTCCCAGGAATGCTTTGCAAAGGGCATTTTTCCTGTTGAGCCAGCATGAGCAACCCCACATGCCTGGAAACACACAGTGGATGAGAGGGTAGCTGTGCTTCTCCTGTGTTGTGTGTGCTTCCACGTGTCTCTCAGTCAAAGCAACTGCCTCTATGCTGCCTTGACTCCCTCCCTCTCTCTCTGTCATCCATTGTTGGATAGGAAACAAATGTTCCCCTGGACATGCCGGGGCTTAAAATAGACGTGAAGACTGCAGCCTTTTTTCCTCCTCACAGCCATAACATTGGGAGTGGCAGCAACAGCAGGAACAGCAGCACAGAAAAGGGGAGAAATGGCTGACTAGATTTGCCAGCTGCCTGAGAAAAAAAAAATCACAGCTTTAACAAAGGTAAGAGAACTGGGCTGTCTCCTGTCTTGTGTTCTGCTTTTCTCTCTTTGACTGCCAAGTGTGCAGAATTGATCACTCCTCTCCTCCTCAGGGCCAAAGAAGTCTATGTCTGATTCTCTTTCTATGTTGTGCATGTTTTTGTCTGTCTGGGGCTGAATGGATTTGGTTGTGTTGGAAGTTCAAGGATGGTGAAGGAGAGGGAGAAAGATCTGAGACTGAGTGGTGCTCCAGCAATTGTGATCTTGGTCATTCCTTTAAACAACTTCACTCAGAAAAGGAATTTAGATCATTTTGACAGATACCTGGACTTTTGTAGGATACGTCCCTTGTTATCTCTAAGCATGAAGGAACTGATTTCATTCCTAACCATCTCAGCCTTCACAGTCCTCAGTGACTTTCCTGTTTTCTTAATGCCTGTCAGAGCCCAAAGGGTCCTTATATAATTGAAATGGTTATTGGGCCAGGAGACAGAGACCATTGCAGGATGAGCAAAGTGGTAGCAGAAGGGTGGAAAAGATGAAGTCCTTTGACTTCATCCAGAGGTTGAATTGAACACTGAAGACAAGATGCCCCAAATCCAAATTGTACTTAGTTATTCTGCCTATGTAAAATAAAACTATGAATTGTCTCCCACACAGCATGATTGTAAAGATAGATCAGATAATCCATACATCAGGTTCTATGCTTCCAAAAGAACCTTGTGTAATGCACAGGATGAAAAGATGGCTTCTTTGCCTGAACAACGAGGAACAAGTCAGTATTTTTTCTCTTCTAATCATCCATGCAGATTATTAAGAGAGAAATGCATGGCACATACAACACTGGAACAGAAGGAAAGGTGGAGCTGAAGATACACCCAAATGCTTTGCCATGTTGCAATGGTCACTGGTTTTAACTTGCTTTAAAATAATGAATAAACATTTGTTCACATAGTGAGAATAGCATAGAACTTTACAGTATCCAAGGATGTTTGATAAAATAGAATGAAGATGTATGTCTGCAACTTTATCCAACTGTGTTGTAGAAGTGTGATTAAGTGGATTAAATATTCCTAAATGCTAAAAATATATGCCTGTCTAGTAAATCTGACAAAGTAAGCATGATGTAGTACTTATCATTAAAACTATGTTATCTGAAGAGACCTAGGTGGCAAGTCATCTTGGCCACTGCATCTGCCCTCTGGAATACCACCTCCCAGAGGTTTGAATTGTTCTGATCCAGTTGTGCTTTCAACACTTGAAAGACCTTCCTTTTTCTCCAGGCCCTTGGTAAGGAAGTTTGGGCTGCTATGGAAATTTTGTTAGCTTGTTCACAGTGTAAGGATCTCTGGGTTATTGTCTTCTTTTCTTTGAATCATATTAGATTGTTTTTATCTTATACACCACCCAGAGTCACTCTGAGTTGAGCAGCCTATAGATTTCATTTATAAATGAACACACACCAACATCTCCAGATGGTCTCCATTACTAAAATGTGGATTATACTTGCCAGTGCCATTATCCTGATTTTGGGTGATGGAGAGAACTGGGAAATGGACCATTAAATGTCTTCAGGGGTGGGATACGACAGGGTTAACTACCGGTTTGGGATTTAGGAGCATCCCCGGCATGCTGTGAGCTGTGCGCCTGTAAATCGTCATCATTATGCTGTGTGCAGAGATGCAGCCTTTGAAACAGCCCTGTTTTCCTGCTTTTTTAACTGCAGCTGTGTCTCATTAGGTAGCTGAAATTGAAAAATCAGGAAATAAAATTCAGGTGACAGCCCGGGTAGGCAAAAACATCAGCAGACATAGAACCGGTTCTATATCTGCTGCTCTTCAGAGCGACCGGTTCTACAGAGGTGGACAGAACTGGTAGAAACCCACCCCTGAATGTCTTCCAAGCACAGAAAATAGGTTGCTGGCAACAGTGGAGAAATGTTAGTAATTGGGAACTAGTGAAAGGATTACATATACCCTCAGTAACAACAGTAGTCTTTGGCAGATTTATCATGATGTGATTATTTGGCACAATTTCTAAAATAAGAATGATCAGAGTTCTTTAAGTTTCTGGTTCTATGGAGGTTGGATGCAGTTATTCAATAGGGAGAAAACAGAATGCCACATATCCTGGAGTTGTCTCCTGTATGACTTCACACCAGAAACATTCTCAACTGAGTTTCCCAGTAAGCTTTGAATGATCCCAGATGGGGCCCCATTGGAAAGCGAGGAAGCTGTGTTCTGTTATCCAGAAGCCGATTGTGCAAAAATATGTTTTATTTTTGCAACCAACATTTGGTCCAGCTACTTAAGGGTAGATAATTTGGTCTTTGGCAACTTTAAGTCTTGAGTATGACTCTTCAGAAGACCTATAAAAACTACCATTGAACTTTTAATGTAATTATAAGTTGAAAAGAAACTAAATCTAATGATGAAACTAAATAGCATGATTTTTTTTTCCTTCTGACTTCTTTGCCCTGATTTGGGGCATTTTTTTCTGAGCCTACTATGTCTTTAAATCAGATTGCACTTTCCTGGCTTAGCCTAATGTTGGTTGTGATCCAGGGAAAAGCAACCCAGTGTCTTCTAGATGCTTTGGACTAAGCTTCTCTTAAACCCTATCCTGGGAGGACAACAGTCAAGGATTATGGAACTTTAAGTCTAAAACATCACAAGCAACCCAGTGATCTCTAGGTGATTTGGACTAAGCTTTTTAAAAGCCCTATCCTGTATGGACAGTCATCAAGGATTATGGAAACAACCCAAGGACACAAGATACGGTATCTGGAATCCCTCTAGCTATGTTCATGCCATTATCCTTAACCTAATTAGGTAGGCGAATTTGCATAAGTCTGCTTAATGTTCTATTTTTCTTTTCTTTTCTTTGTTTAGCCTGCTGGGTGAACCATGCCCATTTGATTAGTTTATGATTCACTGTATCATGTGAACCCAGAAAATTTAATAACCAGATTCAGTAAATATTCAAGAGTGTTTCTTTGTGAACTCAAATGAATTTTTCCTTAACACTACTACGCCATTCTTTATTAAGTGAAAATGTCAGAAACTGACTCTCTAAACTTGCACTTCTATCACTGGCTGCCATTTCTGACCAAATATAGCAAGCCAGAATCTAGAGAAGTCTCCCCTTCCTGGAATTCCATGGGTTTCTTCAAAATCTTCTCCAGGTCCTGCCAGCAAAAAATCAACATTATTACAAGAGATTACATTAGGAGGAAAACACAATTTCTTCTCCTCCCTAGCTCTTAGCATATTTCCTCTGTTGCTCTTAGCTCTCTGTCCAAAGTGTTAGCACCTGCCAGACCTTTTCATGCACATTCTGCCCTGTCAGCCCTCCCTCATATTGGTATAACTGTGGCTGGCAAAACCTCATTTTGAAGGAAAGCAACAACTGAGCCCATACAGACCCTGATTTATTTAACTTTGTCAGTACAGGCATTAAGAGAAAAGAGTCCTCCCACCTTCATGTTAATTTGATTAAAGCTAATGCAAAATGTTAGAAAACCTATTAATAAATCCAGAGGTGGCATTTAGGGCTCAGCTTGCTTATTTGTTTTAACAAAAGACAGGGTAAATTTGTCTAAATTGGACAGCAGCAACTCTGCATGGAGTTGAAAGCAAAGAAGTAGTTCAGTAGATGGAAACAGACAGAGTAAAAATAGTCATTCAACAGAAAGTGTTTTGTATCTTCACTTTAGTAATATGTAAAAGGCATCATGGGCTGTTTTTTTTAGCCTAGATTGTCAGCATATCTTATAGATCTTTTGAAGATCAGATCAAAACTGTTCCAATTCTTCTATTTGACAAAAGCATTCTGTTTTTCTGATTTCCTGTTTTTTATATTCAAAGAGAGCCTTAATCATATATACATTGGACAAATCTAATAATAAGTGCAGGAGTTGAGATTGCTTCTTGTCTGTTAGGAAGCTTATGATCCACTTATGAGTGTGTTCAGGTACTGCTAGTTGATTTAATTTACTTAGAAGAGTGTCTGGAATGATGGTATTGAATGCTGAACTGAAGTTTACAAAGAGGACCCTTGCGTAGGTATTTGGAGATTCAAGGTGTTGTAGGATGTAATGCAGAGCCATGTTAACAGTATCATCTGTAGATCTATTTGCTCGGAATGCAAAGTGCATGGGATCTAACAATGGATCCATGATGGTTTTCAAGTGGGACAGCACAAGCCTTTCAAAGATTTTCATAACTACAGATGTTAGAGCAACTGGTCTGTAGTCATTCAGTTCCTTGATGGAGGGCTTCTTTGGCACTGCGATGATGGTAGAACATTTGAACGTTTGAAAACTCCTTCTCCTAAAAGAAAAACAACCAAAACAGATACATTGTCCTTAACCCTCTCTCTCCCCTCCACGAGGACCCTTTGATTTGTGGGGGAAGTCCTCAGGGAATTGGGGAACCAATTGATCAGCATGGACATCCCAACTCTTTACCCAACTAGCATCTGAAAGAGGGTATCCCTTCCATAAGACCAAATATTGCAATCATCCACAGTATAATCTAGAATCAAGAATTTTCTTAATTTCATAATGTGTTTCCTCCTGTACCACTAATGGGTCAGGGGGAGCAATTGGCAGTGGTCTTAACATTGATGTAGCAGCTGATTTTAGTAAACTACAATGGAATACTGGATGAATCTTCCCTAATAGTCGAGGAAGACTTAATTGTACAGTGACCGGATTGATTATTTTTGAAATTGGGAACGGACCCAAGAATTTTAGCCCCAGTTTCTTACTGGGCAGTTTCAACCTAAGATACTTGGCTGTCAAATATACTTTGTCTCCCACTTTAAAGGGTGGTTGAAGGGATTATCCACCTGTTTTTTATAATTTTTTGCAGCTTCGGTAAAACCCTTTTTGTATCTTCCCAACCTTTCTTTAATGAGTTCATCCATTCTGTTAGGGACATGGATGAGGGAGGTTGTCTAGGTAACTCTGGCATAGGGACAAAATCCATTCCAGTGTTGATTTGGAATGGAGTCAACTCC